AGATGTCCTGGGGTAGGATGGAGCTGTTTGCCTCGAAATGCCACTTAGAGGATGAACAGGGCACGGGCAGCGCCTGCCGTGGTGGGAGCATTATTGTCACCCACCAGCTCCCGCCGGCCCAGCCACAGCAGGTGCTCAGGAAGTGCAGCCACTGGACTGTCAGAGCCGGAGGGACCTCAGAGGCTCTTGGAACAAAGCTCCCGTTGAGCCAGGAGAGGCTGGGGCCAGCGGGGGCCGGGGTGCCAGCTTGGCTACCTCTCTCGCCTGCCCCTGCGGACGCCCTCCCTGGCAGAGACCCCGCCACCTCAGCCTACTCCGATCCCACCCACCCCCACCTCCTTCAAGGGCCTGTCCTGCCCCTGCTCAGCCCAGGGACCCCGGCCACCGCCATGGCCCCTGCCTCCTCTTGGGAAGACACATCAAGTCGCCCGTCAGCCCGGCCGTGAGCCCGTCAGGACCGTCCCTGCCCTGAGAAGACAGCGGCGGCTTGCGCCATGTGCCCCGCGAGCTGTGTCTTGTCTGGGGCAGCGGGGGATGCCAGCTTCGGGGTCGCCCCCAGTCGGGGCAGAAGTCCTGCCTGGCCTGCATCATACTCGAGGGTGGGCTGCTTGGGCCTTGTCACCAGGCCAGGAGACAGAGGTCACAGTGCTTACCATCTCCCCACAGGGACCTGGCCCCACGGGGGCAAGGTGAGCCTTGAGCACCCACAGAGGTCTCGAGCCTGCAGGGGACTCTGTGCCCAGGGGAAACCGAGGCACAGCAGGTCAGAATGGTTGTCACACCGTGAACACCCTCCAGCCCTATCGGACTGACCCCTGCCAGCCTCACCAGCGCAGGCACAGGCGGGCGCTGGGTCCTGGCTGGGGGGAGGGAGTGCAGGGTCGTTCACATCTTCCCCTGAGCATCCCTACCCCCTGCTGCTTTGCAGAGCCCCGGCCTTGGGAAGCGGGGGACCCAGGAGCCCCTCTATCTGCCCACACCCCGGGGCCAAGAGCAGGAGTTTCTCAGCCACACAGCTGTTTACATGTGTCCATCCTGGCTCTCCTGCCGGGGGGAGGGCCGTGGGGAAGATGGGGCGGGGGGGCGTTCGTTCTTGGGTCACGGAAACGTTGCCCCCTGCCAGCATCTTCCTGAGGAGGAGTTCTCCTGGATCCTGGCTGACAGCCAGCCCCAGAGCTTTCTCCGGAGCCCCCCCTTCCCCCCAACCCCACCGCGGCCAGGGTGGGGGTCCTCCACCTCCAGCTGAGTTATTCTTCCCTGATGGAGGTGACTTCCTTTGCTCGGCATCCTTCCATGTTCGCTTCCAAAAAGACTAATTAAAAATGAAACGGGGCCAGGTCGCGGGCTGGCTCTGGCCCTCCCAGCTGTCTAAACACCCCGTGCCTACAGGGTGACCTGCGGGGGAGGCTGCTTGACCCAGCTCCCAAACGGCGGGCTCAGGGACCCATCCTGCCCGGGAGCCCCCCGCCAGCCCTGTTGTGTCAGGGGTTTGTCACCGTTGCTGGACTTTAAGAGGTAGCCGGAGAGGGGGTTCTGGGGAGACCCTCAGGGGTGCAAGGGATGGCGGTTGCTGAGAGACGTCAGCGAGCCGTGGGCCACCGTGGGGGTGCGGGGGAAGGGGAAGGATGATAGGATTTGGGAATGAGCCTCAGCCTTGAGGTCCAACAGGCCCTGAGGGTGGGGACCTAGCCGAGCCCTGGGTCTGGGCTCAGACAGGTCCAGGAGACACAACCGCTCCCCAGAGCGGGGAGGCCGAAGTGCTGGGGGAGGGGTGGCTCTGAGCTCAGGACGGTCCGAGGCGGAGAATGCACATGGCCCGGGGCTGTGGATCTGGGTGGGGAATGGAGTCCTCACCAAGGCGAGTTGGTGCAGAAGTAGGTCAGCAGGCACCTGGGCCAGAGGGCTTGTCCTGTCTGGGAGGGGTAGGCTTGGGGAAAGGAGTGGGGGAACCCAAGGTGCCAGGACAGGAGGTTCCTGAGCCAAAGGCTAGGGAGGGGACAGGGCAGCTGAGATGTTCGGGGGTGGGGTGGCAGGGAGAGGTCGCCCCAGGGCAGCCCGGCTGGCCAGGTTCCCAGCCCGTGGCATTGGGCCCCGCTGCAGGCCTGTTGTGGGATGGCCCTGTGCCCGCCGGCCCAGCTGCAAGGGGTGAGCCCAAGGGCCCAGGGCCGGCTGTCAAGGTGCTTTTTGGGGAGGTGGGGACCCCGTTGGACCGTAGGGCTTTGGTGTGAGCCTCAGTGCAGAGGCGCTGGGTGGGGAGGGCTCCCGAGAGAAGGCCGCCCCGCCCAGCCAGGGGATCTCAGGCAAGTCTGCCTCGCTGGTCCTGAGAGCCTCGCCTGTGAATTGGGAACAGAACGTTGAGTTGCTGGAAAGGAAAGGAGATTGTGGATGAGAAGAGGCACCTTGGGAGCAGCTGCAAGGGAGTTGCCAGGTTTGGGGCGATCAGGAGCCTGGGCCCTGGCATTCACCTGCTCCGGGGGTGCCCCAGATGGGGAGGGCTAGCAGAGGCCTCCTGGACAGGTGCAGAGACAGGCAGGCCAGGGCTAGAACCTGTATTTCAGGGCAATAAACTCCCCACGAGCCGAAACCGTGAAAAAGGGATGTGAGAAAGGAGATGCGATGCCCAGGCCTGCTTGGCCCCAAGCGTTGCTGTTATGGGGCAGCCCCGCCCACCCTGGAGCCCACGGGCAGCATGCGGAGAAGCTGCGTGGAGGGTGGGGTGGGGCAGGTTTGCTGTCAGGGCTCCCAGGTAGGACAGGGCAGGCGGGAGGGCAGAGAGCGTGGGGGCCCTGGCGCTGCCTGGCCAATTACTCCGGGGAGAAGCCTGAGTCGGGCCCGGTTTGAACGAGGATTCAACCTTCTAAAGGACAAGATGACGTGAACTCAGTTTAATTGTCAGGCAAGATGTGCAGGGCCTGCCGTAGGATGGGGAAAAGGCAGCGGGCTGTGAAGTGTCCCTTCCAGGGTGGCTCTGGTTCTGTGAGAACCGTCTGGGTTGGGGGGGGGAGGGGGCCCGAGCAGCCATCGGTGCCCACAGCGCGGAGCTCCAGGCCCGCCCGCCCGCCCGCCCACGTTCTTTCCTTTCTTTCCCACCGCGCATCTACCAGTTTGTCTGCACTGAGCAGAGCAGCCTGGTTGTTTTGTAAACAAGACACCCTCTGGGTGAGGGCAGGTCGAGCCTCACACAGTGCTACCTGTCCTGCTTCCGCCGCAGGCTGGCGCCAGCCGCCCCTGCCCTTGAGGGCTCAGGGCACAGTGCTCGGCGACTGGACCAGAGCCTGCCCCCTGCACCACAGCCTGGCTGGGGCCTGGCCTCATTGGGTGCCCTCGAGGGAAGCCATCACCCACCCCTTCCACAGGTAAAGAAACTGAGGCAACCAGCAAACACTTAGGGACCACTTAATGTGTGCTGAGCCCAGTGGAGGGAAAAGAGAAAGAGCTGGATGAACACACTGTCCCTGAGCAGCCCGAAAGGGGCCACTGCTGGACATGGGAGGGCCCAGGGGTGGCTGTGAGTTGAGGGGGGGCGTGTAGTAGCAGGTAAGGCAGGACTCCCTGTTGCCTAAGGAGGCTGAGACCCCTTCTAGGTGGAGTAATCCGGGAAGAATTCCTGGAGGAGGAAGAAGAATTTCAGGGGCTCTTAGAGGCTAGTCACTTCTCTTGACATCAGTTTCCCCCGCTTGGTGAAATGGAGAGAAGATGCTTGTCTCGTTGGCTGAACAGATTTTTGTGTTTTTTTTTTCTCAGAAAAGAGCAGATGAGCTCATGGACAAGAAGGTATTAGGGCTTCTGCTGCTCCCTCTGTGTGCCTCTGTTTCCTGTTTGCACAATGGGCCCAAGAGTCGTCGTGTTCCAGGGTTCACTGGTAAGCCCTGGCGACCTGGAGGCTGAGCCCTGGGCAGACCGAGGCCGGTCCGTGCTCTGCACGCCTCCCCCCCCAACACTCCTGTCTCAGGAGCCCAGGAAGCAGCTTCTGGGACCTGCCAAGGGCTCGGAGGTCCACACCCTCCCGGCTGGGAGAGCTGCTGACCCTCTGGGAGGCTGTCAACAGAGCAAAGAGGAAGCCAGGCTGGGAACCTAGTGGTGCAACCCAGTCCGTGGTGCCGACGACCTCGTGAGCTTGTGCAATGAACCTGGGGTCCGGAAAGCTGGCTGCCTGTGGCCGCACGCAACGGGCAGGACGAGGGGTCACCCAGGAGGCGGCCCTCTAGCCCAGGTGGCCTGGGCGAGCCACGACCACACGTCACCCCCACCTGAGCCGGCCAATAGGACCCCAGCCGCCACTACCCTTCCGAACACTGAGGCCCACACTCACCATCCCCCACCCAGCTCCAGTGCCTTCTCCCTGGGGGCTCCCAGGGGCTAGGCCACCCTCCCCACCCACGCATAAGTGGCCACTGTCCTCCCTCCAAGGGTGCCTGTCCAAGCCCAGCCCCTATCATGTTGCCCTTTGGGCCCTCGATCCCCCAGGATAGAGCAGGAAGCCTGGCCCTCAGTCGGAGCCAGGCTCTGGTCTCCGAGCAGCCCTGGGTTGGAGTCCTGGTCAGCACCTCTTCCAAGTGCACCCTGCAGCAAAACCCTTCCCCCCCTCTGTACACGGGGGTCACAAAGGGCTCCGCTCACCGGCCCAGGACTGCCCTAGGGGCTGCGTTGGGAGAGGAGGGCTGGGAGGGGGTCAGGCGTGTCTCTGGGTAGACCGTGCATGGGAGGAGCCACAGAGGCCACTGCAGGCCAAGGGGGCCACGGGCAAAGGCCAGGGCAACAGATGGGCCCAGGTGAGGAATCGGCCTGCCTCGGCCCAGCGTGTGCCAGGGAAGGCCAGGCTGCGGGAGGCACAGGGGTGGCGACGTGGGGATAACAGGACGGCTCTTCCCACGGCTCCTGGCGGCGGCCCACGCCCCAGGACACCCAGGCCCAGGCCAGCTCGGATCTGGGGTTGGGAGGGGCTGGTCGGACCCTGGTTATCTCGGCTCCCCTGGCGGGGCACTGGATACAGAGTCCAGAGCCCCCAGCCAGGCTGGTTATCAGGGGCCACTGAGCCCTGACCTCAGCAGGCCCAGGCTGGGCACGGGGCTGGGGTGCCTGAGGCGTTCCCAGCCCGCCCCCGCACCCAGTATCTGGAGCTGCCCCGCCCAGCCTGAGATAGCTGCCCAGAGAGGAGATACATGCTGGGAACACACCGCAGGGCCGGCTCCCAGTGGCCACGGAGAAGGGAACGGGGAGGTGGCCCTGGACTTGGTGGAGAGGCTCAGCCCAGCGGGCACTGTCGGGGTGAGTCTGAGGGTCCCGCTGGAGAGGAAACTTAGGGCGTGGACTGCCTGACACCCACGTGTGTCTGAGCAGAGCCCAGACTGGGGCTCGGGCTCCGACCTCCTGCCCACAGATGGCCTCTGCCATGCAGGCCACACGGTCTGCAGGCCTGGCTGCTTGCTCTCCACTCGGGAGGGAGCTGAAGGACGGCAGGGATACGCTCGCCGCGACGGACGCGCCCCTGCACAGGGCTCCCAGGGCTGCACGGCCCTGCCAGGGACCTGCCGGCCCAAGCCCGTGCCCCAGGCAGGGGCTACCCTGTGCCAGGCCCAGCGCGTGACTTGTGGCCTGGGGCGGGGGGCAGAAGGAGACACCTGTTCACGCCCACCCGGGGCCCTGAGGCCCGGCCTGGGCCCCGTGACGGCAGAGGGGTTCCTGGGAGAATGGGATCCCAGAAAGCCCCTCTTCCCACGCGAAGGGCCTTCCAGGGCCTCCACCCCAGGCCCACCCAGCGCCCGCGGCCAGCCTTCCTGCCAGCTCTTGCAACACTGCGTGAGGGCTGCACAGAAACCCGATCTCGGGCTCAGGCCCTGACGTGCCCCTGCCGCCCGTCCCACTAAGCTCTTCTCCGTGGTGGGGCCGCCGGTCCCAGACCCCGCGGAGACCCATGGCTCGTGCCTGCAGGTTCTCAGGAGGGCAGCCATGGGCACTGGCCCGGCCCTGCCTCCCACGTAAGGGGACTCCGAGACGGGACCCTCTGCACGGAGCCGTCCAGCAAAGGCCTCTGTCCCTGCAGCCGGCCAGGGCTGTGGAAGAAACCAGCCCCTGACCCTCTGGCAGCTGGGCAAGTCCACCCAGTCCCCGCACCTCAGTTTCCCCATCCAGGAATGGGACGCCTGCCCAAGGCCCTCATGAGATGCCTGGGGCTGGCACCCCCGCCCAGCCTCCTGCAGGAGAACGGGTGCCACGCTGCTCCCCAGGTGAGATGAGCAAGCTGTCCTGATTCTGCCAGGAGCCCAGGGCTGCCCCCGGGGCCGGGCGGGTGTTCAGGTCCTGCCTCTCCAGTGCCGGCCCCACTCTTGTCTCCTGGGAGGAGGGGTTCCGTGAGGTCTGTGGGAAGGGGACCCTGGGTGCCACGGGGAGATGGTGGGTCCCGCTCAGGCATGTCCAGGCCTTAGGAAGCTTCTTCAGGACTGGCGTGATCAGAGCTGGGAGGAAGCAGCAGGTCTGGGTGGGTGAGTGGGCACTGGGGGCCCCTAGATTCTAGCTGGACACCCCAGGACCCGTCCAGCCTCAGGCCCAGCCTTCTTCCCCCCCTGCTCCTCTTGGGCACTGGGGGGGTGGGCAGGCCGAGGGCAGGTGGGCAGGTGGCCTGATACCCTTGGCTTCCTGTTCCCAGCACTGGCCACCGCAGGTGGGACCTTCCTTCCTCTGCAGCATATGGTGAAGGAGCAGTGGTGATGGGGGATAAACAAGCCACGGGCCTCGTCCCTGTCAGAGCAGGGTCCTCACAGGTGGGCTCAGTGGAGGAGGGGCTGGCCCTGCGGCCAGAAGCCTCCTAAAGGCAGGCAATCTCCTCCCTGCACCAGGCCCAGGCCCCTCTGGCTGCTCTCTGCTCTGAAGCGGGCAGGGCCGCCCTGAACGTGTGTGCAGGTTGGGCACTGCTCAAGGGACTGTGAGTCGTCAGGGCAGTGGTCCTGCTACACGAGGCATCTTCCCAAAGCTCGAATTGGAGCCCCTCCTCAAGTGCTGGCTTAAACCTGGAGCAACGCACCCTCTCATGCCCCCCCACCCCAAGGGATGAAGCTTGATTCCTCTGCCCCCCGCCCCCACCATGGCTCTCAGCTTGGGTCTCACTTTCCCTGCGAGCTCTGTGTTCCTGCTGCCTCTGCCCTCCCCATCGGCACCCTGGTCACACCATGCTGTCACTTCCTGGTCCCTGGGACACCTTTCTCTCCACCATCCCGGCCCGTTGGTCTGTGGGCTCTGCCAGGGCCGGAATCAAACCACTTTGGAATCCCACCGAGGTCTGTAGAAGGCAGGGGGGCGGGAGGGGCCTGGGGCCGTGGGAGATAGGCTTTGCTGGTAAGGCACCCAGGACTGGGGCAGAGAGTAAGCTGGCGGTGGAGGGAGCAGGTGGGCGCAGGGGAGCCTCTGGTCAGGGGCTCAGGGCCAGGGCCAGCGAACTGAGGGCACCGTGTCCCTCTGCCAGCCCCCAGGACCCTTGCAGCCCCCAGTTGCCCCACAGCCCTGAATCCCCGCCTCCCTGCCTCACACAAAGCCCAGGCTTTCCGGGCCTTACCTCTCCCTCTGTACAGGAGCCCAAGCCCCTCCACATAACCCCGCCCGGGTAGCACCCCCAGCCACTGGTGCAGCCGTGCCCCATCCCTCAGGTGCGTCTCTGCTCCCGCGGCAGCTCAGCCCCCTTTGAAAGTCATGCTGGCGTTCAAGGGCCACCCCCCAGAGGTCCTGGGAAGATGGGAAGAGCCCGCATCTCCCCACTGCCTCGAGGGAGCCCTGAGGGGCCTTTGTGGGGCCCGGCTGGACCCTCGGGACATTTGAAACCGGGGACACTCAGGAGGCCTGTTGGGGGGTCCCACGCTCGCTGACCCCGCTGGGCATTGGGGTCCCCCATCCCGTCCCCACCAGGCAGCTCAAGGTGCCGAGGGCCGGCACGTGCCCGGGCAGGGCCCGCTGCAGCTGGCGGCTCAGAGGATGGCACTCCTGCTCCGCCGCTGGCTCATGCCCCCTTGGGAGTCAGGGTCAGGGAGGTGCCCACCCACAGGTCACACCCTCCTGACTCTGGGCCCCCGCTTCCTTCCTCCCTCCTTCTCTCTGGCAAACTAGAGACCCAGAAACCAGACCTCCATGAGCCGGGGCCCCAAGGGACTGCTGGGAGCCTGGTGACTCTCTGTCCTCCCCTGTGCCGGGGATCAATAGTCTCTCGAAGGGCCTCTGGGCATCTCTCAGGCCTGTTCCCAAGGGCCGGCGCGGCTCGGGCTTCAGTGAGCTTGAGGCAAGTGTCCCGGCAGCTCTCCTCTCCGCAGACCCCCACTGGCCACATGGCCAAGCTGCCCAGCTGAGGCTCCTGCTAGAGACAACCGATGGGGTGTGAGGGAGCGGCTGCCAGGGTTCAGCCCTGGAGGGGCCAGCGGTGGGTGTGGTCTCCAGGCCAGTCCCGGGAAGGGCCAGGGAAGGGGCCGGAGGTGGCCTGGCCTCCTCTCGGGCAGCAGAAGGGTGGACACCAGCTGACACCCCCACCCCGCTGCCTGCCACACCTTCCTCCTCGGCCCAGCGTTTTCTCACGCTCGGAGCTGGCACGGCGAACCCTGCGTGCTGGGACTTGTCACCCCATCCCGGGAAGGTGGGCGAGGCTTTTCCTCTGGGCCTGGGGGCAGGGGCCACCGCAAGTCAAGACACGGCCTGGAGTGGTGGAGCCGGGTTGCGACACCGGCTGAGCAGCTGCAGGGGGCCCGGCCCACACCTGGTCCGTGTCCCAGTCCGTCCGCCTACCTTGGCACCTACCCCCTGCTGGGGAGGGCAGAGAGCATGGGTGGGCTTGGGGAGGTGGGTTCCCATCCTTCCTAGAGGTGGACCCGGGAGCTTGGGCCAAGGCCCTGCCCCACTCTGGTCCTCAGCTGGAAACTGAGGATCATAAAGGTTCGTCGGGACACCTATATGCACCCACACGCCCCGCACCCTGTCGGAGTCTGCGGTGTGGTCAGCAGTGCTGACCTCAGTTTTCCCCTCTGGAGAGTGGGATGACAGGATAGCTACCTCAGGGCTGCTGGGAGGCTCCAACAAGAAATCCACACTTTGGGAGTCTTGGGCCTTGCAGCATCACGGCTGTGACTTTGGGACAGAAGGCCAGGAATTCCTAAGGGCCCCTGAGGCTGATGTGCTGCGGGGACAGAGGCCTGATGGCCCCCGATTCCCAAACCTCACTCAGTCCCGGGACAAGACCTCAGATCTCTCTGGCCAGAACTGGTGAGGCTCACTCTCCAGCTGAGAGCTGGATGGATGCCCCCCTCCAGCAGGGCCCCCGCCTCCAGCCAGTCCTTCAGGGGCTAACCCCCTGGTGACAGACTGGCCCCTGAGCAAATCCATTTCATTTGAGGTCAGGCTGGCCTGTGGTTCCCCTCAACCCACCAGGTCCTTGTGTGAGCCTCTGGTTGTAAAGACAAAACCGGATCCTCTCTGGGCACCACCCCTGTAGGGCTAGTGGGGACCCAGGCCGAGGGTGGTCCCCAGGAGGGTGGCATGAGTACCTGGCCTGTCTCATTTGCCTCAGCGAAATGGGGGGCGGGGGTAGAGTGGGACATGGGACAGGCCGGAGTGGCGCTCTGGACAGACCCTCCTCAGTTCTGTTGTCACGTGGAGAAACTGAGGCCCAGGGAGGTGCAAGCCCACGGCTGGGCTCGTGAGCCAAGCTGGGCCCCCAGAGGCCCCGGACCTTCCTGGCCGTGATGTGCAGGCCGTTCGCTGGGCAGGAAGGAGGGCCTGGGGCGCGGGGCTCTGGGGAAAGGGCCCCATAGCTTAAGAGCTCCTTCTGCAGGAGTCACCAGCTGCCGTCGGAGGCTGGGGAGATGGAGAGGCAGGCCCCCCGGGAGGCAGCCCCTCGACACCCTGGCAACCCCCCAGGCAGGCGTGGGAATGTGACTGGCGGGAACAGGCCCTCTCCCCCAGGAATCAGCGGCTGGGCGCCGGCCAAGGGGGGTCTGATCCAAAGAGGAAGCAAAGTTCAGCTGCTGTGGAGCAGATGAGCTGCTGGGGGCGGACGCAGGCCGTGAAGATGGGGCTCCAGCCCCGGCACTGGCTGAGCCCTGATCCCAGGTGCAGATGCCCCTGACTGTAGCCACGGGCTGCTTTCTGATCCCAGTTACAGGTTGACGTCTCACCCCAGCCCCAGACTGAGCCCTGACACAGGCGTGAACTGAGCACACACCCCAGCCTTGGACCAACCCCTGACCCCAACCAGACCGGCCCCTGATCCAGGCACAGACCAGCCTCATCTCTGCTGACGTCCAACTCCAGCTTTGTCCACCTCTGGCTCTTTGCTTCTTCAGCCCCCAGGCCGAGACCATCCTGGGGTGCATCACAGGGGCCAGCCACCGGGATCGGGAAGGTGACGGTCCACGCTGTTGGATGCTGTGTCCCTTCCTGGCCCTGCACTTTCAAAGGTCCGCAGACCAGCTGGAGCGGATGCAGGAGGGAGACCAGAGTGCAGGCCTGGGGGCGCTGAGGGGGCCAAGGCTGGCTGGTTTGGAGGCAGGAGGCCTGCTCAGCCTGGTGGGACCCATGCCACCTCCAGCGTGTGAGCCAGCGTGCCACCTCCACCACCTTGTCTTCCAGCCAGCCCTGAAAGGCGGAGCACGCCCGCCCTGCTTTGTGGACGAGGAACCGGGCCGGACAGGGTCAGTGATACCCAAACGTACACAGCACGACCCGAGGCAGTCTGACCCGAAGCCCAGTCAGCCGTGCTGGAGACAGACCTCAGCCTGATCCCAACACCACCAGCCTATGGGGCGGGGGCTGCCTTGAGTGGATGGGGCAGCTTCACAGGGGCGGGGGGAGACATCGGGGGAGACGCAGGGGACCACCGAGCTGGGGTGTCGGAGCCGGATCTGGGCCCCCAGGTGGGAGGGGGGCCAGCCTGGGCTCTTGGGCCCCTGCAGCCGCCAACTCGGGCTCCCTGAGCCTCCCAGAAACTGAGGCTGGGCACCCCGAGCTTAGGGGGAAAGAAGCTGTGTTTATTCGGAGCTCTAATCTCTGGGCCTTATCGCCGCCTGTTTGCCCATCGAGAGTTCACACATGGCTGGAGGTCACAGCGGGGTGGGAGGGGCTGACAATATTTGCCCACTTCTCCCGGTGATGTTATAAATAGTACGAGCCTCTCAGCTCGGAGGGGTCTCCCGCGGGCACCAGATGCCAGGTGGGGTGCCTGCGGTGTTGACATTCCCCAGCTCTGAGTTTGGCTTCCGATAGCGGTGCACGAGGGCGTGGCCGGAGAAGCCCTTTCTCATAGGAAAGCTCGAGAAACAGCTGCGCACCCCCCACCGCGGGGCTTGGTTGCCCCCATGCTGTCCCAGCCCACACCTGGGACGTGGGAAAGTCCACTTGGAGTGTCCAGGGGCTGTGCTGGGGCTGGGGACAGCAAAGCCCCACAGGAGGCCGGGCCCAGCCCCACGTCAGGGCCCACGGCAGGGTGCCCAGACACTGCCCGAAGGAGGCAGTGTGGCTTGCTGGTTAAGGCACACGAAGGTTCCGTGCACTTGGGCACTGTGTGACTTGGGGAGCCCCAGTTTCCAGCTATTAAACGGGGTGCCCGTGAGTCCCACACCATAGAGTTGCGGGGAGATGGATGAGATGCTGAGCCACACACACACCACCGCCCGCCTCCGCACTGGGCCCACTAGGGCCATCGCCCCCCGTCACCCCACAGGCTGACCAGGCCCCAGGGGAGGCGGGCTTGGGCATGCCCTCCCACCCAGGTACCAGGCCAGCAGGAGCCTCCTCCAACACCCTCAGCCACTCCCGGCTGCTCCCAATGAGGGCCCTTTTCCTTTCTGGGTTTGTTGGGGGTTAATCATCCTCGTCACCCAGTTTACAGGACCTCTGGTTGCTTCAAAGCCCGCCTGGTACCAGCAGCCTGGAGGATCCTCCGGCCCACCCCCTGAGGATGGGAACCCACCTGCTGCGCTTGGGGGCCCTCACGGGCTTTAGGGGGACGGGCCAGGAGGAAGAGGCAAGGAGGTAGCTGGTAGCCTTGGCCTCCTCGAGGGCCTCAGTGGGACAGCGGCACCCGGACGGTGCTGTCACCGCGCCCAGCCCAGGGGAGCCCGGGTCTAGGCAGGCAGGCTGGTCCCAGGCAAGGGTGCCAGCATGGCCGGCCCAGGGTCAGGTGGTGACCTGGGTGAGCCCAGGCCCTTTGCCTTCCCAAGTCCTTTCCTCCGTAAAAAACAAAAAGAGTGAAAATTAGATCTTATGGATGTGTTGGCCTAAAGACAAATACATTAATATTATATATGAAAGCATTTTCTTGTTCTTAAAAATTCAGTTTTTTCTCCTGATTTTAAGAGACATTAAAATACTTCCCTGAGCCTCTGAAAGTCTCCTGGTTCCTGGTCTCTGGGCCTGAAAGGGGAGTCGGTCTCTGGCGATTCAGGAGTCCAGAGGAGGGGCCTAACCTGGGCTTGGGGTCCGGGATGCGACTCAGAAAATGTGACACCAGAGCCCGGAACAGGACACAGGAGGAGCCAGACAGAGAGGCGGGGCGGGGGAAGAGGCAGGAAGAGCCTGGGGCTCCTGGAGGTTGATGGAGCCAGGGTTCCAGCAGCCTCCAAGCGTGGAGGCGGGGCCTCGTGGAGGCGGGTGGGCGGGGCCTCTGGTGGGCACCCGGCTCGTTGGGGCTAGGGCTTGTCCCGAGCACCTAGAGGAACCACAGGAGGTTTACGCTGGAGTGGGGGTGGGGGGGTAAGGTGCGGGGGGAGGGGCTGGAGCTGCAGCCCGGAATGTGGGGGAGACGCTGCTGCAGGTGTCAGGAGGAGTCCCAGCAGGGAGCGATCCCAGCCTGAAGAGGTCCCAGCAGGGAGCGATCAGGAGGCTGGTTGGCCCTGGGCCTCGTTTCCCCACGTGCACAATGAAGGGTTGGGCTAAATGGTCTCCAGGGAGGTTCCTGAAGGCCAACGGAAGGCCTGGGGGAAAGGGGGCATTCTACAGGTTGAGGGGTCTTCACCCAGCGCTCCAGGAGAGAAATAGGGTGGAGTGGGGCTGGGGCAGCTCCCTCTGACCCCCTGCACTGCGGCCTCCCAGCTACAGAGCTCTGCCCACTGTCTGCCTTACTTCCCTCCTGGGACCACCTGCCTGGGGACCAGCAGCCCTTGTGGTCCCCACCTGCCCTCCCTCCGTCCCTCCTTTGGCGGCTAAACTGCCATCAGTCAGGGCAGCCACACCTGCTGCTCTCGAGTCCCCTCCTCCCTCCGCTGGCCCTGACAGCCCCTGCCACCCTCCTCTGGGCTCAGGGGGGCCCAGGCACCCAGCAGCCCCTCAAGGACCCCGAGGCAGGACTGCTCAGACCTGAAGGCTGCAGCCCTCTGTCCTGTGAACCCCAAGAGAGCCCCCGACCAGAATACCTGCCAGGAGGAGCAAGGCCCTGCACAGCCTTCTCACCATCCCACAGGTGAGAAAACTGGGGCCCCCTCCCCTTAGCTTTGCACTGGAGAGGGGAGAGGGGCACAGGGGGGGACGGGGAGGGGGAACCAGGAACGGAGCCCCTCAGCTGCCTCCCCCATCACTCAGAAGAACCCCCCCCCGGTCATCTGTGTCAGCGATAGAGACCAGGGTCCTCCCCTGGCACTGCCCTGACCAGCGTCCTGCCCTGCAGCTCAGGCTCCCCAGGAGCACCTGGACCTGTGGCTCTGCACCAGGGATGGGACAGGCGCTGGGATGGGACAGGCCCTGGGATGGGACAGGCGCTGGGATGGGACAGGCCCTGGGATGGGACAGGCACTGGGATGGGACAGGCGCTGGGATGGGATAGGCCCTGGGATGGGACAGGCGCTGGGATGGGACAGGCGCTGGGATGGGCCAGGCGCTGGGATGGGGCCTCCACAGCATCCCAGCCCTCTCTCGGCAAACAAAGGCCCTGCTGACCATATGCTGCTGCTCTGATTTGTTTGGGCTGGGGGGGGCCTGGGGGGAATGGGGGGCCTGGCATACCCCACCCAGTCACCTTGGCACCACAGAAATGCCTCTTAGCCTGCCGGGCCCCTCCCTAATCAGCGGTCCCCCCAGCCCCCCAAACCCCCTCCCCCAACTGCGTCCCCACAGCCCTGGGACGGATGCCTCCGCTGCCCCAGCTGGGCAGGCTGCCCATGTGTGGCGGTCCGCACGGGGCGTCACAGCTCAGTCCCCAGAGGGTGGGAGAGGACTGGGGGGTCGCTGGGAGAGACCAGAGGCCTGAGAGGATCCTACCCAGCTCCATACCAGGAGGTGGGGGGGGAAGGGTCACCTCCTCCCCAGTGCCGAAGCCCCAGGCCCGTCCTGCTCCCCAACAGGGGCCGGCAGAGTGGGGCCCCGCCTGCTGTGCGCTGCCTCTCCTGAGCCCGAGGCCCCACACGCCTCCCAGTTCCCTCCCCAACGCCTCCCGCCACCCCCCACCCCATCCCCCGTTGGGCGGGATTCCACCACTTCCCTCTGCGAGACCTCGGGGAAGGCCCGGTGCTCTGCCCCCACCTGCGGGACCACCGCAGCTCACCGCCCAGCATCCCCACCCCCAGGCCCCGCCCCTCCCAGCCTCCCCCAGCCCCAGCGGTGATCAATAAATGAAGTGAAAACTGAGCTCGGTGAGGCCTGGCGGTGCCCCCGCACTCCAGTCCAGCGCTTGGGGCTCTGCCGCAGCCCCGCGAGCCCGCACCCCGCACCGCCCCCCCCCCCGCACCCCCGCACCCCCCGCCCGCCACCTGCCCGCCCGGGTCAGTTCCCCAAGCTCCTGGCGCCACCTGCTGGGCCAAGTGGACGCTTGCGGTGTTCCACCGGCTCAACCACAGAGGCCCAGGTGGGAACTCAGCCATTGGGGAGTGGCTCAGGTGCGGAGGGGGCTCAGATGGGGAGAGTCAGAGAAGTCCTGTGAGACCTTGGGTGGCTTGAGGAGGGTTGGTGCGGGCACACACACACATTCTCTCTCTCTCTCTCTCTCTTTCACAGTGGGCGTTCCTGGGGCCGCACTGCCCCCCTGTGGCAGCAGGATGCGCTGCATGGAGCCCATTCAACCATCCAATCTCTGAGGCCCTGGCAGGAATGCTGGTCCCTCAGCCCGTGTTGTAGGGGGACCCTGACGCCTGGGTGAGGGCAGAACCTTGTGAGCCATGGACCCCTTGCTCTGCCCCGCAAGTCTCCGGGGACAGTCTGAGTCTGGTACTTGGAGCCCTGGGTTCCAGACCTAACAGTAACCCACCCCCTCCCTAGTGCAGGAGGAAGGGGTTCCAAGACCGTTCTCCCTAGAGAGCCGGGTCCAAAGTTAGGACACATGTCCCAGCACAGCCCTGCCCTTCCTGGGGACCCAGACTGCCTGGGAAGCCAAGCAGAGCTGCCAGACCCTGCCAAGGACTGCGGAAGAGGAAATTCAACCCCAAAGAAGTAGAAGAAATAATAAAGATAAGAGTAGATATAGATGAAATAGAAAATGTACAAACAATGGAGAAAATCAGTGAAACCCAAAGCTGGTTATTTGAAAAGATCAATAAAATGGATAAATTTCCAGTTAGTCTGATCAAGAAAAATAAAAGGAAGAGACAAATGGCCAATACGAGGAGTGAAAGAGAAGGTATCACTTCGCACCCTAAAGACATTACAAGAATAATATTTCAGTATTATCAATTGATGACCAAAAATTGGACAATTTAGGGCTTCCCTAGTGGCGCAGTGGTTAAGAATCCGCCTGCCAACGCAGGGGACACATGTTCGAGCCCTGGTCCAGGAAGATCCCACTTGCCGCAGAATAACTAAGCCCGTGTGCCACAACTACTGAGCCCACGTGCCACAACTACTGAAGCCCACACGCCTAGAGCCCGTGCTCTGCAACAAGAGAAGCCACCGCAATAAGCCTGCACGCCGCAACAAAGAGCAGCCCCTTCTCACCACAACTAGAGAAAGCCTGCATGCAGCAATGAAGACCCAACACAGTCAAAAATAAATTAATTAATTTTTAAAAATTGGACAATTTAGATGAAATGGAAAAATTCCTTGAAAGACACAAATGATCAAAATAGGCACAAGAAGAAGTATGTACTCAGAATATTAAAGAAATTCCATTTATAATTTAAATTTTGCCACAAAGAAAGTTCCTGGCCCACACAGTTTCCCTGGCAAATGCAACCAAACATTCAGGGAAGAAATGTCAATTCTACACAGACTCTTCCAGAAAATAAGATTTTATGAGGCCACCGTTATCTTGAGACCAAAATCAGACAAGATATCACAAAAGAAAATTATAGACCAATATCCCTCATAAACAGTGACACAAAAATCTTTTAACAAAATCTTAGTAAATCCAATTGCGCAAAATGTAAGAGGAGACTACACCATGACCACGGGGAGTTTATCCCAGGAATGCAAGACTGGTTTAACGTTCTAAAATCAATCAACATAACGCACCATATTAACAGAGTGAACAAGAAAATCCATGTGATGACCTCAATAGAAGAAGCAAGGGGACTTCCCTGGTGATCCAGTGGGTAAGACTCCACACTCCCAACGCAGGGGGCCCGGGTTCAATCCCTGGTTGGGGAACTAGATCCTGCATGCATGCTGCAACGAAGAGTTCACATGCTGCAACTAAGAAGCCTGCATGCCGCAACTAAGACCCGGCACAGCCAAAATCAATATGTTTTGAAAAAATGGATGAGGCAAAAGCATTTGACAAAATTCAACCACATTCATGATACGGATGCTCAGCAAAGTGGGAATGGAAGGGAACTTATCTTGACGTGAGCATCTATATCCAAAACCTATAGCTGAAGTCATGCATAATGGGGAAAAACTGAACGCTGCCCCCAATGGCAGAAACAAGGCCAGGATGTCCAGTCTTGCTGCCTCCATTTAACCTTGTCCTGGAGGTCCTAGCCAGAGCAGGGAGGCAAGAAATAGAAGACGTACAGATTTAAAAGGGCAACATGATCCTATGGTAGAAAATCCTTTTAAAATTTCAAAAGTAACTTCTAGAACTAATAAGTAAATTTAGCAAAGTTGAGGGATAAAGGGTAAATTTAGAAAAATCAACTATATTTCTATATGCTAGTATTGAAGCATTGGAGAAAAAAAAATTTTTTTTGGCCGCACTGCGTGGCTTGTGGGATCTTAGTTCCCCAACTAGGGATTGAATCCAGCCCATGCCAGAGTCCTAACCACCGGACCACCAAGGAATTCCCAGAAAATAAAATTCTTAAAAATTTACTATAGCATTAAAAACATCAAATAATCAAAATAATGAATAAAATATTAAGGAATCAAAATAATGAAAAAAAGTACAGAAGACTTTCAAAAAAAAGACTGGAAAACTTTGCTGAGAGTAACTAGGGAAGGTCTAAATAACGGGAGAGG